CAAGTTCAGCCATCACCAGGTAAGTGCAGAAAGCGCCTAGCTTTCTTCTTCTTCTTCTTCTTCTTCTTCTTCTTCTTCTTCTTCTTCTTCTCCTCCTCTCCTCTTCTCCTCGTACTCCTCCGAAGTTCTTCTTCCTCTTCTTCTTCTTCTTCTTCTTCTTCTTCTTCTTCTTCTTCTTCTTCTTTATCAGAGTAGAGATAGAGGTAACTGTAGACATTGTTTGGACATGGCCTTCTGCCTTATTGGACACGACATTCAGATCGGACTTACACTCTACATTGGGATTGAACTGTGTGCGACATTCGGAGATGAGACTTGGGTTGGACTTGGTTACCTCCTATGTCCCTCCCCCTTCTCTCTCGCATGTCTATGGATCTCTCCCCATGTGTGTGAGCGGAAGGGCAATCTTTCTGGTGTCTTGCCCTTCCGAAGTTTCTGCCTTTCATGTTGTTGTCCACGTGTCCTTGATACTAAATCTTCCGCTGCGCTGCTTCCCAGCCTATGATGATAATGATACGAATATGTTGTTGTTGATTTCTCGTTGTTTCACTCTTTGCATCGAGCACATTGACACCTTGTGAATGTTGCACCTATGCTGCTGGTTATTGCCACTTTCGTCATTGCTAGATCCTAGGCTTTCAGTGCATTTCACTTTTTGATATGCTACAAGTGGTATCGGAGCTAGTGCGATGAATCTTGGCAGCCACCAATCAATCCATTGATTGATTCGATTGGCGGTTTGCCACCAATCAATCTTCGATTGATTGATCAGTCAATCAGGAGATTGATCGAACAATCGATCAATCAACCAGCAATCATCTAAGATTGATTGATTGATTGATTGATTGATTGATTGATTGATTGATTAATTATTTGATTGATTATTTGACAATTTTTTTAATCTTGGAAATTTCCCGAAATTAATTAATTATTTTTTTCGAGAAATCATTTCTTTTTCCGAGAATTTTCTTCCCGAGAAATTATTTCTTTTTTTGAGAATTGTTTTTCGAGAAATTATTATTCTTTTTCGAAAAATTAGTTTTCCGAGAAATTTGGCTTCCAAGAATTTTTTTTTCGTTCTGAGAATTCTTTTTCCGAGAATTTTTTTCTTACCTTATTTAATTGTTAAATGTCTGCATTTTGACAAATTCGATTCTTTTTCCGAAAATGTCGCTCTACACTTTCACTGCGTAGGTTTGCAAATTYCGTTCTTTTTTTTCAAAAAAAAAAAAAAAAAACGGCATTTTTTTCTTTTTGCAACCTTCTCCTACTCTAAGTTTGTAAAGATACTTCTTTTCTGATTCTCTGCAGTCCGAGCACTGAAGGTTCACATTTGCTTTCCGCATCACCTTTGGCACTCAGTGGGATTGGACAATCTTTTTTCGAATTTTTATTTATTTCTTCTTAATCAAAATTATTTTTTTTTTCTTTTTGATTAGGAAACTGTTCAATTTAGGATCTGTCCGATCCTTCCCACCTGTCTACTGCCTACCTGTTCTTTCGCCTCCAGTCCGAATACTGGGGCAGCCTATTTGATTGGCCCATAGGTGACTTTTCAGAGTGCGGGCACGACAATGCATGCCACCACTCACTCGATCACAGACCAAGGCCATGGACCGGAAGGCAGGGGAATCCCTCCTGGCCTATGAGGAACGCCTGGCTGCTTTCATCCAGGAGGCCAAACAACGATAGGGCCGCCGCCGCGGCCAAGGAGCGTAGTCAGATTGAGCGAGAAGAGGAGGCCAAGCGACGGAAGGAGGAGCAGGACCGACTTCGTCAAGAGGAGGCAGACCTGCAGGCGGCAGCCGAACACCGGTCACGCCAGCGGGAACGACTGTTCACGCAGGAGACCGTGATCGGCGATGAGGCCACACATTGGGTGGAAGTGGCATCTGCAGACGGGGCCTCGGAGACTGAGAAAGGGTTGTCAGCCCTTGCACAGGTCTCCCACGACCTCGTGGCCACCTGCGCTCTGCAGCAGGAGGAAATCCTTCACCTGCAGTAGACAGTGGACCAGATGCTCGCACGGCTGCAGGCGTTGGAGAAACAGCCAGCTGCCGTAGCAGTCGCACGACCTTCCAACCTTACCACCCAGGTGCAAGTTTTGGAGGATGACGTCAGCAATATCAAGCGTGTGCATCAGGACTTCAGGACGTCGCAGCAAGCAACGAACTTGTAGTTGGAGACGCAGGTCCAGGCTGCTGCCACCGTGACGCCCGCCGCCGCATCCTCCCGGCGCCCACCCAAACTAGATGACATTCCAGTTTTCTGTGATCAGTCCAAGACGGAACCGATCCCGTGGTGGCGCCAGTTTACTCTCAGGCTCGACATGCACGATGTCCCGAACAACGATCGACATCTGTGCTTGTACCACCGATCTGGTGGTGCATGTCAAGCATGGCTGAACAACATCTTGACCAGCCACGGCGTAGCAGTGTCGGAACTRCACACCAAGCTCACTTGGCAGGAGTTGACTGACGTCTGGCACAAGCGATTCCAAGTGGAGCCGCCCAACCTGCAAGCGATGGACAAGCTCAACAAGCTCCATCAGAACACGCTGCTCAGTCAGGACTGGATTACCGAGTTCCAAAGACTCGCCTCCACACATGACCTTCCGCTCGCATTCCGCGCCATCAAGCACTTGTTTATCATGCGCTCGTGCCCAGCTTTGCGAAACGCGCTGACGCAGATTGCAGAGACACTCGACACATCTGACAAGCTTTTCAGCACAGTGTCACGGATCATTCTCACAAATATAGAAGTCCGCAACGCCGGCCGATCTTCCGCGACGACGAGCAGCACCCAGCCCAAGCCAAAGGTGGCTTGCATTACTTCTACCAAGGCTGTAACACCAAACGAGGGTGAAGTGTTGGCAGCTGCCCGGGATGGTGGCCGGCCGCGCAACAATCACGGCCGCGATAAGACGAAGACTCAGTCCACCTCTACACCGAGCACTGGATCAGCGGCCGGCGAAGCTTGGGCACAATACGGACTCTCGGCGAATTCCTATCGCACGAGACTCAAGTACCGTTACTGCCTTTGGTGCAATATCACCATCCACGATGCTGCACATTGCCCCACCAAGGGGAAACCCCGTTCGGGAAAGTAGGCGCCGTCGAGGGTGACTCGACACCTCCCTCGACGTCATCGGAAGTGGTTGTGCGCGCGACCGCCCTTTCTTCCAAGGCAGATGCGGATGTCAAGAGTCTTCCACTTTCGCTCGAAGACTTCGCTGCCGGGCTCTTTCCTTCACTGGATGCTTCTCAAGGACAAGATACATGTGCGGCTTTCTCATCGCCCGGAGGTTCCTCCGCCACTTCGTCTTCATCAAGGGATTCGGCAAGCGCATTCAACGAGGAGGTCTTGGACCCGCTCACGCCCGAGGACTTCGCTTGGATTCCTCTCCCTACGACGGGCAACCTTCCGGGGCCGCAAAGCGCAGCACTATGCCCCCTCTTACACGAGTATCTTTCCTTCCATGCACCACCAACTTCGCCGACGGTAGACGAAGTCATGGTGGGGGACATTCTTGGTTATGTTGCCAAGGTGGCCCGCGAGTTTGTCTCGCAACGGTATGAAGAAAACAATGCACCGTTGCTCTACGTTCGCATTCAGATTGGGCAAGCGGCCTGCAACGCTTTGCTAGATTGCGGCGCAACTCGCAACTTCATCAGCCAGTCCTYCATGACTCGGGCTGGCCTTGGCGCACAAGTACGGAGGAAGTCACATCCGACGACGGTCGCTCTTGCCGACGGTAAGACGAAACAACTTTTAGACCGTTACATCTCGGTCGTCCCGGTGTACTTTGCACCGCACGCATGTGAACCCGTCACTTTTGACGTGTTGGACACCGACTTCGATGTCATTTTGGGGATGCCTTGGCTTTCTAGCGCGGACCACACAGTCAATTTCCATCGATACACGCTCACGATTCGTGATGCAACTGGCGCCGAGGTCCCGTGTACTATTACTCCTCCTGACTCTTCCATTCGGTGCCAAGTCGTGAGTGCCAAATCTTTTCGAGACACATGCCGTTTCGAGCATGTCGAAGAGATTGGCATCTCTTTTCTTCGAATCGTCCCGACGACCGATTCATCATCCACAGATGTGTCTTCCGACCCCCGTGTGACCCGGTTGTTAGACGAGTTCTCGGATGTTTTTGAGACACCCTCCGGTATAGTGCTGGACCGGCCAATCTCTCACGAGATCATACTTGAGACCCGTGTCGTGCCACCGAAAGGATGCATTTATCGCATGTCCGAGGAGGAGCTCACGGTTCTTCGTGCGCAACTCGACGATCTACTYGACAAGGGTTGGATCCGCCCTAGCAGCTCACCTTACKRTGCGCCCGTTCTCTTCGTTCGGAAGAAGAACAAGGACCTTCGACTTTGCATTGACTACCGACGCCTCAATGCGCAAACCATCAAGAACGTGGGGCCTCTACCTCGCATTGACGATTTGCTTGAGCRGTTGGGCGGCGCCAAGTACTTTTCGAAGTTGGACCTCAAGTCGGGYTACCATCAGATTTCCATCCGCCCGCAAGATCGGTACAAAACCGCGTTYAAGACGCGATATGGGCATTTTGAGTGGGTAGTTATGCCTTTTGGCCTCACCAATGCCCCGGCCACCTTTCAGGCGGCCATGACCACCGAGTTTCGCGCTATGTTGGACCGCTTCGTCTTGGTCTACTTAGACGACATCCTCGTCTATAGCCGAACTCTAGAGGAGCATCTCGAGCACCTTCGCCGTATTCTAGAGACTCTTCGTTCAGCCCGGTACAAAGCTAACCGCGACAAATGCGAGTTTGTCCGGCAAGAGTTTGAATACTTGGGTCATTTTGTCTCTCCGGAAGGCATTCGTCCGTTGGCGGACAAGATTCAAGCCATCCAGGAGTGGCCCGAGCCGAAGAATGTGACGGACGTCCGATCCTTCCTCGGCTTGGCCGGTTATTATCAGCGCTTCATCAAAGGTTACTCGAAGATCGCAGCCAACCTAAGCAAGTTACGAAGCGAGGAGCGGCCTTTTGACTTCGACGACGATGCGCGCCATTCTTTTGAGACACTCAAAGCAGCACTCTTATCCGTCGAGGTGTTACATATTTACGACCCGCTTCTAGCTACGCGCGTCACTACCGATGCGTCGGGCTATGGCATTGGGGCCGTCCTTGAGCAGCACGATGGCACGGACTGGCAACCGGTCGAGTACTTTAGCAAGAAAGTAGCTCCCGTGCATTCGATCGACGACGCACGGAAGAAGGAGCTTCTTGCCTTCGTCCACGCCCTCAAGCGTTGGCAACATTTCCTCCTTGGTCGGAAACCATTCCGATGGGTAACGGATAACAATCCGTTGGTATTCTACAAGTCGCAAGACACGATAAACAATACCATTGCCCGCTGGATGACTTTCATCGACCAGTTTGACTTTTTCCCCGATCACATTCCCAGGAAGTCAAACCATTTTGCGGACGCCCTCTCACCGCGACCGGATCTTTGCACCGCAGTCTACTCTACCTTCGAGATCGACGACAACTTGCGGGAGAGCTTCATCCGCGGCTATCAAGCCGACCCCCACTTTCGCGACAAGTACGCGAATTGCTCCTCTCTGAATCCGGTGCCTTCGCATAATCGGATCCAAGAGGGTTACTTGTGTATTCACGAGGTAAGGATCTTCTTTGTGTGCCGAGTGATTCACACTTGCGCACACGGCTTCTTGGCGAGTTTCACGATGTGCCCGCCTCCGGACATTTTGGTGTCAACCGTACACTTGGCCGACTTCGCCAACGGTTCTATTGGCCCGACCTTCTCAAGGACGCCACCCGCCATTGTGAGTCGTGCGAAGTCTGTCGGCGTTGCAAGTCACGCAACCATCATCCGTTCGGCGAGCTACACCCACTACCAGTGCCCCTCGGGCGACGGGAAGCAATTGCTATGGATATCATCGGCCCCTTCCCGAAGCACAAGACCGGCGTTGATAGGATCCTCACGGTCGTCGACCGCCTCACCAAGTATGCCATGTTTTTGCCTTGCCGCTATCACGCAAAGGCACTGGAGTTAGCCGAGGTCTTATACACCGGTTGGATTCGCTCCAAGGGCTACCCCAAGGAGATCGTTTGCGACCGGGACACTCGCTTTCTCTCCGACTTTTGGGTCGCCCTCGTCAAGCGGTGAGGCTCATCTTTAAAGCCGAGTTCGGCTCGCCACCCGCAAACCGATGGTCAAACGGAAAGGGCGTACCAGACCGCTGAAGTCCTTCTACGCACTCTCATCCGTCCCGACCACGTTGATTGGGTTGAGCGCTTGCCAGACGTTGAGTTGGATTACAACTCATCGATCCATCCGGCTATTGGGATGTCGCCATTCGAGTTTGAGCATGGTTCACCCATCTCATCGCCGTTGGATGCCACTTTGTCGCGCACAGCCGAGAGCGACGACCATCTTGCGTTCCTTCGTCGCATGCAAGAGCTTCTTGTCAAGGCACGGGATCAGATGTCGAAGACGCAAATACGGATGAGCCGTCAAGCCAACCGCAATCGCCTTCCTTGCCCGTTCTGCGCCGGCGATCTGGTTTGGGTCTCCGCCGCGGAGTTCAGCCTTGAGCAAGACATCTCTCGCAAGCTCCTTCCCTAGTGGATGGGGCCTTGGCGCATTCTCTCTGCAGTTGGTGATGATCCCGAGGGGCCTTCATTCCGCATCACGGTGCCACCTCACTTGCCCGTCCACACGGTGTTCCACTGTTCCAAACTCGCTCCTTTTGTTTCAGCGGAGTTCGACGAGTTTCCCGGTCGACGTACGCAAGACCCTCCTTCCATGGACGGATTTCAGGAGGCCGGCTACATCATCACCGACCGGCGTCATGGCAACAAAGAAACAGAGTTTCTACTTCACTTTTCCTACTGCAGCCACAAGGCTGACCGTTGGCTGACGCGTTCGGANGTCATGGCAACAAAGAAACAGAGTTTCTACTTCACTTTTCCTACTGCAGCCACAAGGCTGACCGTTGGCTGACGCGTTCGGAACTGCAGGTCACAGCCCCCGCCGTTCTCTCACACTATCTTAGCAAAGGGAAGACTACGCCGAGCACTCCAGCTCCTCGCCATCCTAGCTACATTCCGCCATCGGATCGGCAGCTTCGCCCGCGCCCCGGCTCGTCTTCATAAGGAGGGGGGCGTGTTACATGTTGAAAGCCTACACACGGGCCCCTCACGGGACCCGAGGTTGGAATAGGGCCCCCAGGTCGCATCACCGCAACCTGAAGGCCCTATGGCATTTTTACTTGGGCCTGCATCAGAAAAACGCCAGCTTTAGATTATTTTTATAGTCTTTATTTTATTTAGTTGCTGCTGTTTTTCTAACGGGTGTACTGTTGTCCATTTTGTGGCCAGGTACACGTTTTAGGACCAGGGCCAAATTCAGGCCCAGAGGCTGAGCTCCTAAAAACGTTTGGACCTTTTCGTTTGTTTTCGAACAGATTTTGACCTGTTCGGACCCAGGCCGACGTTGAGGCCGGGTACGTCTGCACAGGACCGGTGTGACACGCAACCTCACGCCCTGTGCTGTCTTCCGCTCAGGCCCAGAAAAACAGCAAGATGGAGTGTGCGAAGGATTTTTGGGAATTGAGTGTGGGGACACAGACAGAACTGAAATCCCCCGTGTTGGTCCGATGGAGCAAGTCGATCGTTTCGCGCATCGCGGAATGCACGCGCGGACATGGCGCGAAAACAGAAAGATCCAAATTCAATCCAAGAAGTATTGTCGGGCTTCCCACCGAGCTACAGCCCGTCGTTTAGAACGGAAAGGCTTTGGCACGCTTCGCGTGTCTCGTTTTCGTATCAGATTTTGTCTTCGTTCGCTGGTCAGTTCCGAATCCGACGTGGATGGTCTCAGCCGAGTGGCTCTTTCCTTATGCTCGTCCTCACTCCGTATTCGATAGTGGAAGGCCTTCGCTTCGTAGCGATCAAAACGCTGACATTCAGTGCACAGAGTGCGTGGCTTGTGGGGTTCTACTGCCGTCCACGGAATGACGATTAACTCGTTAAATGGCAACAATACCGAGTAAGGTGGGAAGCGCGTATCGATAATAACAAACCCGGCTCCTACGAACCCAGAAAAACGGATGGCCGGAGGGAAGTAATACTGCCCGCCGATTTGTGCAACGGCTTCTTGTACGTCCCACTCACATACACGTGTCCTTTCCTCACTGTAAGGAAAAGGTCGCGTTGGGATGGGAGATACGAGAGGCTGGCGCCCAATCGAAGGGTACGTGTCAGTCCACATGTCAATCAATCACAAAATATCCGGAGACGTGATTTAGAACAGAAGCGATTCGTGCGTCCCCCAATCAATCTTTTTGACACAAGAGAGGAAAAACAATCATAGATTAGTATGGCTACGGGTCCGATTCGTTCAACACACGTTGGTCCCTGGCGCCTTGTTTCTTAGGGCCGCCTCATGGCTCGGCTGCTGATGTCGTGCATCATAAGGCAGAGGGCATGCGCAGTGCAAACAGAGCTACAGATCTAAACACTCTTGCATTCTTGAACAAAATCCCGACGACACTCGTCTAATCAAATCGAAAAAGTCACGCATCTCTATACATGCATTCACTGTGGAAGGTGCGAAAATGAGACATGCACAGGGAAAGATGGATCGCATTGCACAATACACACGCATACACCGTTCACAAGACAAGTAGACGGGGTCCTGGCGTAGGAGGATTACCCAGGAAACTAATAGAAGAGTTCCGGAAGAAGTTCTTTCACACAGAAGCAGGATTCCAACTCATTCCTACTCAAGAGAGGGACAATCATTCAGACACATCATCTTTCAAAAAAAAAAAAAGAGAGAGAGAGAGAGAGAGTCGAGGGAAAGAAAGTCCAAAATAGAAGATGACAAGATTCAGGAAGAGAAAAGTTCGGCGTCACCGCCGTACACTCACGACAAAGATAACAATCCGCAACAACGGCGCATTCGCCGTTAATTCCAATATGGCCCCGGGCCAATCAACTCAACATCGATCCTCATATCCGCACCGACGATCCCGGCCGTCGTGTGCTAACTCCCACCACTGCGATCGTCACCCCGTTGTCGTAAACTCGACATGGTTCACCCAGATCCCACAGTCCGTCGTGGCAATCCAGCGTGCAAGCGGCCAGTCTATCGTCAGTCTGACAGGACTTTCCGACTCGCTTCAAACACTCTGCCTAGCCACTACTTCCCGGAAGCTGGCTTGAGAGTCGAGAACGTAAGAGAGATCTGCGGACGCGCTTGCGGGTTTTATAGTCGCGGCAGGGGAGATTGAAGGGGGAGAAGGCGACAGGAAAGCTGAGGTGTAGGAGGAGAAGGAGGAGAAGACTTTGAGAAGAGTGCTCTACGAACGCCATGCTGATCCCTCGGAACTCAAGGTTCACTCAATTAGATTCGTCGCGCGATAGGAAGGTCCTATCGATTCACGCACCTGATTGGCGAGCGGGAGTTATCGGGGGATCGACCGGGCGTCGTATGCCAGTCGTAGAGGGTGAGAAGAGGAAAGGCGCGAGAGGTGGCGCAAAACGGGTCCAAGATTCAGATGATCAAGAAGGGGAAATGGGCGCGCGAAAGCAAGGCGGGAGAGAGAGAGAGGGGGAAGGAAAAAAAACAGTTACGGGGAGAGAGAAAAAGGAGGGAGAAGGGAAGGGAGGCGCGGGAGGGAGCGATGCGGGGGACAGAGAGGAGGAAGCTTTTGCATGCACGGCGCGGCCAACAAAAAAAAAAAAAAAGGCACCGAAACAGTTACAACTTGCTTCTATCCTAATTCAAAATTGAAATCACCATATCCGCGCGCGAAAAAACGACGCGGGAAAAGAAAATCCTACGCCTATTCATATTCACGCAAAATTCCGAGAGTTTTCGCCGACGCGCCCAAGAACATCCACTCACCCAAAAAGGACACGTCGAAGTTCCGTTTATCCCGGAATTCCCAACTACCGAGCCCAATTCCCAGTGCGCTCGCTAAGACGCACATAAATTCCCATGTATTTCTCGACTTTGCAAAAAGAAAAACAGGACTCAGTAGTCGAAAAAACTCTCAAAAAGGAAAATGCGGCACCCGAAAGCAAGAACTCAAAACGGGGTTTTCCTGAGGTAGGTATGATACAAGCAAAAGAAAGGGTACGAAAGATGGCACGGGGTCGGGAAGTGGTTCGTCACATATGTGACGCGAGGGGGTTCCAAAATTATGCGATCTCCCGATTGCATGGAATGGCGAAAGAAAGAGGAGAGAACAGAGTGATGCGTGAGGAACCAAACATATCAACAGGGCAAAAAAAGGTACAAGGAAACGATAACTGGGTCGCGGATGAGATGATGACAAAATCTGTGGCAAGATCTCCGCAGCCATGTCATATGCAACCCTCTGCCTCGTGGAGATTGTCCAGGTGACGCCATCATCGTCCACCTGATCTCCGTGTGCTCTGCACCCTTGCTCGTTGCCGTCTGTCGAATCAGCGCGTAGGTTGACGTCATCGTTGGTGGCGTGGTCTTCGCAAGGCTTACCGATTCGTGCCGATGGAGGGAGGAGAGAAGAAAAAAAAAGGGGGGGGGGGTGCTGTGACGGTGTCTTGATCTACTGCAGCAGGCG